TTGTCCCCTTGTAAAACTGTTATTTCTGTAGTATCATACCAGTCAGGTCTGCACATGAAGTACACATCCTAAAGTTGATACGATATTCAAAGGCTCATGTTTCCTATAATTATTTTATTGATATAGTGTTGCTGAGTTCAAGGAAGGGTATACACCAAGGATTGCACTAAAGCTGCAATCATCCCTTCTTACGTTTTATGGACGCCAAATGATTTTGTTTAACGTTGCACAATCTTTGTGTCACATATGACATCATATAAATGTAACTGGTGCGGTAGCCACAATCCCATTTGTCGATCGGGATATCTCCGAATGCGACTTTCACAAAATCTCTACTAGCAACAAAATAACATGGGGCTGCCACTAGAAAAAAAATCAAATCTTCCAGGCTTATATAACGTATGCCATACGCGCAGTACGTCTGCATAAGATTCATCTCATCAGTGGCTATCGCAAAAAAAAAAACACAGTTTGAAAGGCAAATCAAATACGAAGTTGAAGAACATTGAAAACCAAATATAGTTGTGCCAAATACGGCTAAGGCTATCTTTGCATAGTGGTAGAAAAACATTGGTGTTTTGAATTATTTAACATTTCATTTAGGAAAACAAAATACCGATCAATGATACTTGATGCAAAGACTAAACTGTTGATTAGTTGGCGAATCCCTCGGGGCGAAACGTATACAAGCAGTGGCAGCGTATTCCCCTACAAAGGCGGCATATGTATTCTAACCTAGCTTTGTTTTAAGGGGTTTCGTGTTGCTTTGGCTCTAGTTTTTAGTGTTGTATTTTGTTTTCTCTTATTTTCCAATGACTTTACTGTTTCTATCAGCAAACAGTCTTGTATGTCCTTTCCTAGACATTGAAAACCATGTTCACATTCTGTCAATTTAAAGGGTTAGAGAATTTAAGTCACCGACATTTTATGAATATGGTAATGTTTCCTATTATTTAAAAAAAAAAAAGAAGAAAATTACCAATTTATTACTGTCTGATGTTAATCAATACTTATGACTCGCAAGTTTACCAGAAGTAACTGCAAAGTAGGCACTAGCGTCGGAGGAATTGCTGAACCTTAATTCAAATAATATTGATAATTTCCAAAAATGAATGTACACGTAAAATCCTTGATTTATGATATTTTTTCTATATGTGTGCTTATGATTGATTTTTGTTCTTTCCTAATAGAAATAGATTCAAGTATTTTTTGATACCCGTTAAAATCATCATCTCAGTTTTGTTTGTTACCTGGATTCGTCTTAAATGATTTTATAAGATTTGAACATCTACAAAGTACTGTTACCTTTATTTAACTACATATTTTTTACTCAAATCAGAAGCATAAGGCTCCAATAAAAATTATCCACAAAGAGAGACTAAATATACCAAAGGAATAAGCAAACTCATAAGTCGACAACAAAAGAGAGGCGAAAGATACCGAAGGGACATTCAAACTCATATGTCGAAAATAAACTTACAACGCCATGGCTAAAAAAGGAAAAAGACAAACAGACAATTTACAGTATACAAAACACAACATAGAAAACTAAAGACTGAGCAACACGCACAATACCAAAAAAAACAACATGGGTGATCTCAGGTGCTCCGGCACAGTAAGCAGCTCCTTCTTCACTTGTGACACACGTCGTGGTACTCATATAAAATATGTTGATAAGTTTAATCTAGTGATTAGGAATCACGCAATAGGGGATTCGTAATTGACTTTTATATAACCAAATTCATTAACCATCGGTCATGTAAATTTTCTAACCCTAAAAAAACTTGACCGAATGTTAAAAACAACAGTCTGTTAAAACGTGTAAGAATAAAACTAATAAACCAATTTTGATCTGAAAGGGTCATTTTAGTCTTAATTACTCTTAAAAGACTGATCAATAAATGTGTCAGTCAATTTTCAGACATCTCCACTAAGTTGAATGCAGTACTGTTCAGACAATTCACTTGCAGTCAATTGAGATGTATTCAGTCTATGTTCTTATACGTTCAGATCTTTCACATCCAATCGTTTATGGTAATATTCTATACAAAGAACAAAAATGTCATCATTCATCTCAAAATTTAACCAAACCTTTAAACAGACTTATTCAGAAAGGATATAGTACGATACTGTTGTCAGGTAATTAAAGATAGCATTTTTAAAAATTAATATTGATTCACTAAAAGGGTCTTTGCATCGGAAATAAACACATCTATTATAAAACCGGTTGTTAGCATGGTACGGTTTATTTTCTTCTCGTATATTTCATGATGATAGTATGATACTAAACCCCTTACGAGAGGGATTGTGCTTGATTTTCATATGACATAATCTTTCAATCAGTTTAATTGAGGTCTAGAGCTGGCATGTCAGTACAAAAATGTAACTGTTAGTAGTCCTTTGTTTATTTATGTATCATTGTATTGTTGCTTAGTTTCTTCTGTTACCTATTCTATCATCGGACTCGTACTTCTTTTAAACTGATTTTTACTGTGCGTATTGCTGTGTGTTTGTTTATTCTACATTTGCTAGAGGTATAGGGGTAGGGTTGAGATCTCACAAAACATGTTTAACCCCGCCGCTATGTTGAAGACCCATTGGTGGCCTTGGGCTGTTTTCTGCTCTTTGGTCGGGTTGTTGTCTCTTTGACACATTCCCCGTTTTCTTTCTTAACTTTATGCTCATTATGTTCAGTATTTGATATCTGTACACATCAATATCATACTGAATTGCCTGAAAAACTAATGAACAGTACCGACTGAAAGACTTCACATGACCCAATAATTAATTTTTCAGACTTTTTCAGAACACCGTTTAAGACTAAAATTAATTAACTAGAGTAAGTACCAATATGCTAAGATCAGAAAACAAACAATTTTTTTGAAATACTCAAGAACATTAAACTTTGAAACACTGTCAGTTTTGAGAGGAAATCTAAAAGTTCAAGTCAACGCCAGTATAGTATGCATACACTAGAATTCCATACCACAGCATGCTTTTAAAGTCTTACCACCTACTGGTATTATTTTGATTTAATTTCAGTCAATGTTTTGGTATATAGGTCTGTGTTGCCATAATATTATTGGTGTTAACTTACTCTTTCATTAAAAATTGTTATCTGAAGAAAAGGAATCTTTACAAATAATTTGGACACGCCTTAATCTGGTTTAAAGGGGAAAGCTCAATTTCATTTTGATGGATATATTGTACTACTAGTATGTTATATTCTAGAAGTTTTTAGGTTAGAGCTTTTCAAAATTGATTAATTTAATTTAAAGAGTTTGATTTGGAGCACACTAAAGATTTGAACATACAGTGATTTTATTATTTTCTACAATAAATGTAAGTATTTTACAGAACAAATATTGTATTGTATCCTATGTAGTGGACTACATACCCCAGTAATGTGGAAAATTATAACCAGCAGTATTAACAACAACACACAGTATTTATATTTCGAAAATTGAATCCAGTTAACTTTGAAAAGTAACAATCGTCAAAAATACAAACCTTCCGTCTACTTTTCTTTAATCCACTGTTCTCAGAAAATGTGTATAAAGTATCTATCGCTCACCTGTCAATTATGAACTAATCGCATAAATCGTATTAATAATATTTCAAAAAGTTTCCAGCAAAACGCTCCAAAATGTTATAACATCCTTCATTGGCATGAACTCCTGCAAGAAGTCGACTGACGACAATGACCTACAGTTTCTCTCCATTGAATTTGGTTTACGCAAAAAATCATAAAATGGTTAAAAAGCTTCTTTCAAAGACGAGTCAATAATGCATTTAAGTGGAAACTGTTGATTTCGGCCATGTAAGTTATACAATCTTGTCCCCTTTTCCCGAATTTGACCTACTGAATTATTGCCGGGTTTGTACTAACATGAGCAACACGACGGGTGCCACATGTGGAGAAGGATCTGCTTACCCTTCCGGAGCACCTGAGATCATCCCCAGTTTTTGGTTGGGTTCGTGTATTTTCTATGTTGTGTTTCGTGTACTATTGTTTGTCTGTTTGTATTTTTCTTTTTTAGCCATGGCGTTGTCAGTTTATTTTCGACTTATGAGTTTGAATGTCCCTTTGGTGTCTTTCGTCCCTCTTTTGTATATAGATTTTTTCCTGCTGATCGATTTTGTTGTTTACAGTTTCCAGCAGTCTACTTTAGTTTACGCAAAATAAACGCATAAACACGGGTAAAATATCATCTTTCAAGAGCAATTACACCTATAAGGAGTCAAAGAACAATTTCTGTCGTGTTAACCTATTTTTAAGCTTGTCCTCCTGATTATTTTGCCACTTACTGTTTCGCACAATCTATTATAGTTTTGACCAAATATTATCAATATGGGGTAAATATCGTCTTGGAAGGGCAATATGTCTTATAGGAATCAACTGACTATTACGCCCAGTTGGATGTATAAGTAGATTGTGTCCTGCTGGTCAGTTGATCTATAGACAGTTTCAATTTATCTACCATAGTTTCCACTAAGAGAAAACCCAACACAAAAATGGGTAAATGAGTTTTTAAAAGGCCACAAATCTAATACATTTGTAAGGAGTAAAATGAAAATTTATGTCATGTTAACTTATTTCTAAATTCTTTTTGCTGATCGATTCCCCAATATAGTTTCTGTCTAAGAAGTACAGATCAAAAAATCAAAGCGAGGTTAATACTGCCCTTTGAGGGCAATAACTCATAAAGGAGTCCACTGACGATTAATAGAAATATAAAGATGTTGTATGAGTGCCAATAAGACAACTCTCCATCCAAGTCAAAATTTATAAAAGTAAACCATTATAGGTCAAAGTACGGTCTTCAACACGGAGCCTTGGCTCACACCGAACAGTAAGCTATAAAGGGCCCCAAAAATTACTAGTGTAAAACCATTCAAACGGGAAAACCAACGGTCTAATCTTTATAAAAACGAGAAACACTTATGAACCACATCAACAAACGACAACTACTGAACATCAAATTCCTGACTTAGGACAGGTGCAAATAAATGCAGCGGGTTTAAACGTTTTAATGGTACCAAACCTTCACCCTTTTTCTGAAACAATAGTGTAACATCACAACATAGAAAGACACACTATAAAATATCAACTGAAATAGCTTAACTCAATCAAAGGACATATTAACACCTTTTGGACTTCTTCCTAAACCTATTGGGCTTATTAGTAAATCTAGTGTTAGTTTCCGACTATCTACTATACTCATGATAATAGTTTCCACTAAAAAAAAAACCCAAACAAATGAAAACAAATTGGTTGACGAGTTTTTCAAGGAAAACTCTACAATAAGGAGACGACTGTTAATTTGTTTTGTAGATCTCGTCCCGCTGAATACTTTTTCTGAGCACAGATTCTAGCTATCTGCTAAAAGGATTTTAGAAATGGAAACATCGTGTTTTCATGGTGATAACTTCCATAACGAATCGGCTGACCATATTGGCCATGTTGACGTATTTGTGGATCTTATCGTGTCGATGATTTTTGCCATAACAGTATTCCTCTATCTAATAAAGATTCAAAGATAATAGACAAAATAACAAAAAATTGGTGAAAAAAATCCTAATGCAAATAAGTATAACAAGAATACCGAACTCCAAGCTAATTTGAAAAAGGGGACGTCCATAAATACAGGAAAAATCAAACGTTACCAACCATCAGAACGAGTGAATAACAACTTTCATATTTTTGACTTGGTACTGGCATTTTTTTAAGGAAATGGTGGGTTAAACCTGGCAAGGGTAATACTTTCTATATGGAGTCGTCTGATAGTTTTATTCAAAACGAATGGTATGTAGATCTTGACATTTTGATAATTTTTGACACTGTTATATTTTCTCTATCTTAATCGATTTACAAGATAAAAGACACTATTTGCATTTTTTAGTCTCTATGTACCACCGCTAGCCTTGACAGTCATATTGGTTGGCAGACAGGATAATCGGACAAACATTTTAAACTAAATACACTTTAATGATATTTTGTGCAAAGGTTGGTTCAATATGGCCTAGAAACATTTTGTTAACGTAATGGAGAACGGACGACAAACACCATGTTATGGCACAAGCTCACACTAGCCTTGTAAGCAAGGTGAGCTAAAAGAACACTTTATTACAAATTTGAAACCAAATTAGAATGTAGTTTTGAAAGCGAATTTAGATTGGTGGGATTTTTTTGGCATTTATTCTTTTTATTGTTACATAAAAATATTAGACGAGTTCAATGACTAATCGAACATTATTGAGTCATCATCATTCTTAAGTATTTGTATCAATTTTGTATATATCAGTAGAGCCTTTAAATAATTTTGCTAAAAGTTAGAACTTTCACTCAACAGAATTGTCTCCTGACAGGAATAGACAATAAAATAGTCTGAATTAATCCATATTTAATTCGTATTAATTGTAACATGTTTAACACATATGCAGTTTGTCCAAAAATAACTTACTGTCAACACATAGAAATTTGATAAAGTATCAAAGCTCAATTTGCATAATCTGTTATCTTAGTTAAAAAACTTTAGTTCATTCTACACTTAAAAAACGCTGTCGTCAATTCAAAGTGACAATAACTGCCTATTAACCTTTTAAACTTTTATCTTGGCTGTTAGTGACTATTTTTACATGGTAAACCCAAGGTCTTCTTTTGGGAACATTCAATGATACTGCTGTCGGTGAATCAATGTGTGGCTGTTCAAAATAATGCAAGTCCTGGTAAGCGTTATCATTTTACCTCATATACATTTCTATGAATATCATCGGTTAACCATGGTATGTAATATGGGGTTAGTGGGCGTGTTTTATTTTAGTATACAGTATTAGCAGTGTTACGTCCATTTATAAAAACAAACAACAATAGGTTTGAACGTTGTTTTCAATTTAGACTTGTATATATATATATATATAAACAAGTCTAAATTGAAAACAACGTTCAAACCTATGATTGTGTTGGATAAAAACCGCAATTTTTATACATGTGAATGCAAAACAAATTTCTTGATAGAGGGGTCTAAATACAGCACAAACAACATTTTCCAAAAGACCAAAAAGTGAAAAAGTATATTTTAACAAAACGCATTTGACTAACAGGTCGAACAACAGATGTTCTTAAACCCTGCTGACTGCCATTAGCGATTGCCAAATAAACGGATCACAAGATGTTACAAAATGGATCTTTTAAAATTATTAATTTAATACCAAACAGGAAATAATAAACTTGCGGAAAAGATGGTATATCGCAAACAAAAGGTGCAAAGATTAGTACACCATATCTGGATTTCGACAATTTATGTTTCTTCAGTGATGTTAGGGATCGAAACGGTATTTGGAAGGCCATATAATTTACCTCAATTTAGGATAGACTCTTGAATTTTGAAGAGTCCAAATATTAAAAATAGGATGAACGGATCATATAAACCCGAAAGAAAATATAATACAAGCCCAAACGAAAAAATATAAACAAGTCTAAATTGAAGACAACGTTCAAACCTATGATTGCAATGGATAAAAACCGCAATTTTTATACGGGTGCATGCTAAACAAATTTCTTGATAGAGCGGGTCTAAATACCGCAAGTTTATTATTTTCTGTTTGGTATTAAATTAATAATTTTAAAGATCCATTTTGTAACATCTTGTGATCCGTTTATTTGGCAATCGCCAATGGCAGTCAGCAGGGTTTAAGAACATCTGTTGTTCGACCTGTTAGTCAAATGCGTATTGTTAAAATATATTTTTTCACTTTTTTGGTCTTTTGGAAAATGTTGTTTGTGCTGTATTTAGACCCCTCTATCAATATATATATATATATTTATTTTCAAGTTAGTGTTTAAGGAGAGACTGCCAAAGTAGCCTATCTTTCAGGTGTTGTCATTAATATTAAGATAGAAAAATATATTCTGGGCAGGACTGTTGGTCATATTTGATTACATAAAAAATTATGAATAAAAGGCAATTTTTGTCAAATACTTTTTAGTTTTGACATGATTAGGGCATCACAGAATGTACTTTTGCACTAAAATAACTTCACCTTATTTATTTACCAGTTAAGTATACTTATAAAAAGGATGAATAATTGTTATTTATGATTTTGCCATGCATGTTCAAGTTGTATATTATATTTTTTCTTTTATATTTTACAACATGTTCCTCTTTAACTGTTAAATATTTTATATTGATATATTGAACTATATGATGGTAAATTAACTATGTGTCAATATCTATTATAATTGTATTGCATGTGATAACCTCAGGATAGATTAGTTTGTTGTAACTAACTGTGTTTATAAACTCTTTGAATAAGGAATTCATTATCATTAATATTATTATTAATATTATGCTACAATATTAGTATAAATAATAGCACTATCATACACAATCTACTAAATTGTTATCTGTTATCTCATACAAGATGCCAATAAAAGTAAGCGTCATTTAGTAAAGAAGCGATATGTTCTAACATGTTTTAACTGCATGAAGTGTAGCTTATAGAGTAACTTTAATTTGATGCTGTAGAAACTGGTTTCCCAGTCATTGAAGCAGAAAAATTTACAGGTTCGACGCCTATAAAATCTTATGCTGGAAACTGAAGCCCAGGAAAAAAGTAGAGTTCTTTCCCTTCCGAATATTCTAATAAAACAATTTGTGCAACAGGTTTTTTCTCTACCGTCCCACTGTTTTTTCCATCGTCTGTCAGCTTTGGAATCACAGCTTGGCCCAGACATATGTTCGCCTGTAAAGATCAAATGAAAATTACCACAAAGATTTTTAATGCAAAAGAACTATTATTACTCTTAGCTGCAAACATCTTTGGCTTTCCAAGTGTTGTACCACTGCTGAACCATTTTGCAATGCAATGGAATCAGCATGGGATTTATGTCTATGAAAACATGATTGAAAACAGTTATATCAAAGAAATAGAAACAACTGTTGGAATGAAAGGAGACCAGAATATTACAAATAGTAAAAAGTGTCCATCGCAATATACTGATAATTCTACATTTTCGAAGCCTAATAAAGCAAGTGATAGTTATTCAAGTCTCAAAACAGCCCAATAAATTCCATCTATTTCAGTGTTCTTTATCCTTTTAGTTAGTTTAGGGTCACTCATTTTCTGGCGCTGGATTTTCTGTTTTAATGATATTGATAATTATATTTTCTGGTGCTGGATTTTGCGTTTTAATGATATTGATAATACTGTGTCTATATCTGTTATAAATGTGCATAACATGCTATTTTACCGGCAATGTTTGATCGCTAAAAATCCTACAAGATCAAGACATCAAAAGACTACCGAAGGAGCTACACAGCTAGTGACAAAGTCAGAAAAGAAGACAGATATAATATGACAAACCAACCAGAAAGCCTTTGCCCTAAATGAAGTCATTCAACTAATCTAATAATTATTACTTAATATTTAGTTAGACAATATTAATGCAAATATCAGACAGACAAAAATGAACCCCCTGTGGTATGCTTAAATATAGTGCGGCAAACATTACATTAAGAACATAAAAGCAGAACATGAAATGAGTGTGCACAAAACACACAATTGATGCCACCACAATAGTTATTGCATCATATAGACTATAGTATATCATTGTTCCTTTCCCACTTCATAACTTAAATTTGCAAAGTTAACAAGTGGTAAAAAATTATGAATCTTAATAAAACAAAAAGGATATGATCAGTTCTGTGTCCACTTAACAAACGTCTTAGCAGAAAAAAAAAATGAGACCCATGTAAAACAATAAGCTGAAATTCTATGAATTACGTGAAAAGTCATTATAAATGGATTGTTACGTAGTAATATATTCTAAATGTAAACAACTGCACTATTTCTAACTCAACACCTGTGCTTTGTGGAAAACAGAACAAAAACATTGATAATTAAAATGTCAATTGTTCTTGAACAATTGAGAGGTCTTTCCTTTTTATAATGTAAAATATATGTTCCAATAGGCGTAGAATGCATTGAAAAGCTCTTTAACACACTTAAAACCCTTAAAATATGACAAAAAACACATAATCCGCTATTTAAGACATGACCATGAATTTGACCCTAGTACCTTTGTCAAGGTCATTGGTCCAGGATGTCATTACAAAAGACCTCATGGGTCTAGGACCTTTGGTTCAAGAGTAAAAGCTAATTTTGTATTTTCAGAAACAGTTCATTGGGGTTATGCCCCTTACAGATAGGTCAAATCTCTTTGGTCATAATGTAAAAAAGTTTTGCCTCTATGACCCAAACATTTTTCACTATTTACTATTTCTGTAAGTTTAATGGTTTTTGAGATATCTAATGAAAAGTGGTTAGGTCAAAGGTCAAGGTCAAACTTTAAAAGCTTTAAAACACACTGAAAATCCTCTAAATAAGGTCAAAAACACATAATTCGTTATCTGGGACATGACCTTGACCTTTGACCTTGTGACCTTTGTCAAGGTCATTGGTCCCAACTGTCATTGCTGAAGACCCCATGGGTCTAGGACCTTTGGTTATATAGTAAAAGCTGATTTTGTCGTTTCAGAAACCTAAAATAGGGGTTATGCCCCTTACAGAAAGGTCAAATCTCTTCGGTCAAATGTAACAAAGTTGCGCCTTATTGACCCAAACATTTTCCACTATTCAAAACTTCTGTAAGTAAAATGGTTTCTGAGATTATCCCATATCAAGATGCTAGGTCAAAGGTCAAGGTCAACATACAAATTTGACCTTGAGAAATTTTTCAATGTCACATGAATTGATGATGATTGGTGAAGATCCTAGGTGTCTACGACTTACGGTTTCTGAGTTTTGGTGGCCAACCGACTGCGGTTTATTTTCAAAGGGGCATAACCCTACCAATGAGTCGTTAAATCTTTTCGATCCAAATGTAACGAAGAACCAGGGTCTGGTCCTGAACAAATTTCACCCTTCGCCTTTTTCCTACCTATTATGGTTACGGTGTTTGAATGATAACAAGGTTTTTAGGTTTCGGAGGGATTACTCAATACCGACAAAATTTTTTGACTCACAGGGTGAGTTCCGGATAGGTATTCATGACACCGATACAAAGTGTTAAACTGAAAGCGACATGGCTTACGGTTACGGAGGGAAATTTTGTCAAAGTTTGGCGGAACAAAAAGAATAATAATAATAATAATAATAATAATAATAATAATAATAATAATAATTAAAATGTCAATTGTTCTTGAACAATTGAGAGGTCTTTCCTTTTCATAATGTAAAATATATGTTTCAATAGTCGTAGAATGCATTGAAAAGCTCTTTAACACACTTAAAACCCTTAAAATATGACAAAAAACATAAAATTCGCTATTTGGGACATGACTTTGACTTTGACCTTATGATCTTTGTCAAGGTCATTGGTCCAGGATGTCATTACAAAAGACCCCATGGGTCTAGGACCTTTGTTTCAAGAGTAAAAGCTAATTTAGTATTTTCAGAAACAGTCAATTGGGGTTATGCCCCTTACAGATAGGTCAAATCTCTTTGGTCATAATGTAAAAAAGTTTGGCCACTATGACCCAAACATTTTTCACTATTGACGATTTCTGTAAGTACAATCGTTTTTGAGATATCCAAGAAAAAGAGGTTAGGTCAAAGGTCAAGGTCAACCTTAAAAAGCTTTAAAACACACTGAAATTACTTTAAATAAGGTCAAAAACACATAATTCGTTATCTGGGACATGACCTTTGACCTTGTGACCTTTGTCAAGGTCATTGGTCCCAAATGTCATTGATGAAGACCCCATGGGTCTAGGACCTTTGGTTATATAGTAAAAGCTGATTTTGTCTTTTCAGAAACCTAAATCAGGGGTTATGCCCTTTACAGAAAGGTCAAATCTCTTCGGTCAAAATGTAACAAAGTTGAGCCTTATTGACTCAAACATTTTCCACTATTCAAAACTTCTGTAAGTATAATGGTTTCTGAGATTATCCCATAACAAGGTGTAAGGTCAAAGGTCAAGGTCAACATGCAAATTTGACCTTGAGGTATTTTTCAAACTTACATGAATTGATGATCATTTGTGAAGATCCTAGGTGTCTACGACTTACGGTTTCTGAGTTTTGGTGGCCAACCGACACCGGTTAATTTTCATAGGGGCATAACCCTACCAATGAGTCGTTGAATCTTTTCGATCCAAATCTAACGAAGAACCGGGGTCTGATCCTGAACAAATTTCACCCTTCGGTTTTGTTCTACCTATTACGGTAACGGTGTTTGAATGATAACAAGGTTTTTTGGTTTCGGAGGGATTACTCTGAACCGACAAAATTTTTTGACTCACAGGGTTAGTTCCGGATAGGTATTCATGACACCGATACAAAGTGTGAACCTGAAAGCGACATGGCTTACGGTTACGGAGGGAAATTTTGTCAAAGTTTGGCGGAACAAAAAGAATAATAATAATTAAAATGTCAATTGTTCTTGAACAATTGAGAGGTCTTTCCTTTTGTAATGTAAAATACATGTTCCAATAGACGTAGAATGTATTGAAAAGTTCTAAAAGACAAAAAAAAACTGTTAAAATATGATAAAAATCAACAAATTCGCTTTTTAGCAGATGACCTTGACTTTTGACCTTGTGACCTTTGTGAAGGTCATCGGTCCACAATGTCATTGTAAAAGACCCCATGGGTCTAGGAACTTTGGTTCAAGAGTTAAAACTAATTTTACCTTTTCAGAAACCGTTAATGGGGGTTATGCCCCTTAAAAATATGTCAAATCTCTTCGGTCAAAATATAAAAAAGTTGTGCCTCAGTCACCTTAACATTTTTCACTGTTTACTATTTCTGTAAGATTAACCGTTTTTGAGATATCGACTAAAAAGTTGAAAGGTCAAAGGTCAAGGTCAACCTTAAAAACCTTTAAAACACACTAAACATCCTTTAAATAAGGTCAGAAACACATAATTCGCTATCTGGGACATGACCTTGACCTTTGACCTTGTGACCTTTTTCAAGGTCATTAGTCACCAATGTCATTGCTGAAGACCCCATGGGACTAGGACCTTTGGTTATATAGTAAAAGCTGATTTTGTCTTTTCAGAAACCTAAAACAGGGGTTATGCCCCTTACAGAAAGGTCAAATCTCTTCGGTCAAAATGTAACGAAGTTGCGCATTCATGACCCAAACATTTTCCACTATTCATCACTACTGTAAGTATTAAGGTGTCTTAGATTATCCCATAACAAGGTGTTAGGTCAAAGGTCAAGGTCAACATACAAATTTGACCTTGAGGAATTTTTCAAAGTCACATGAATTGATGATGATTGGTGAAGATCCTAGGTGTCTACGACTGACGGTTTCTGAGTTTTGGTGGCCAACCGACACCGGTTAATTTTCATAGGGGCATAACCCTACCAATGAGTCGTTGAATCTTTTCGATCCAAATGTAACGAAGAACCGGGGTCAGGTCCTGAACAAATTTCACCATTGGGTTTTTTTCTACCTATAACGGTTACGGTGTTGGAACGATAACAAGGTTTTTTGGTTTCGGAGGGATTACTCCGAACCGACAAAATTTTTCGACTCAAAGGGTGAGTTCCGGATAGGTATTCATGACACCGATACAAAGTGTGAACATGAAAGCGACACGTCTTACGGTTAAGGCTGCTAACTTCGTCAAATTTTGGCGGAAAAAGAATAATAATAATAATAATAATAATAAACAGAAGAAATACAGTAAGGTCTTTCCCTTTTGAAAAAGGAAAGACCTTAATAATCAGAAGAAATACAGTAAGGTCTTTCCCTTTTGGAAAAGGAAAGACCTTAATAATAATCAGAAGAAATACAGTAAGGTCTTTCCCTTTTGAAAAAGGAAAGACCTTAATAAAGGTATAAAGATTTGCATGATATAACTGTTCTTCCTTGAAAATCTGTAAACGCGAGACCCATATACCATGTTATGTATATAGGACAGACATACAACAGGAAGGACAAACAGTTTAAGTCATGCTAGCATAAAAATAATGACAATAAATGTATTCAATAGCATAACTAGTTTGCTGGCATTATCCAGTTCCAATATCAACATAAAATGCCCAAACGAATGATTGCCAGCATTCCTGTACTTTAAATATTTACACTGAGTGACCTTTATGATATTTGATTTTTTTCATATTTCTAGCATTTGGTTTATAATCATTAAATACCTCTTTCAATAATTCCATAAATCATTTTTTATATGCGAAGTTCTTGAACACATGTGCGAGTGCCTGAATGAAGTATGATCCAATCAATTTTTCACCAATTATCCATGGACCTTGCTCTGTAAAGAATAATTCTATCTATTAACATAGGCAAACAAGTGTAAATCTCTGAAAATCAGCCACTAACTTGTATAAATCATCAAACGAAAAAGTCGGCAGTAATACAATAGCAGACTTTTAAACAATCTTAATTGTAATTAATGGCAGCGATGTCATTATTTTAAGAGATTATTCAAAACTAAAATTATTGAGAAATCTTCATTTTCCTATGATCTTCACTACTTTGATCAATTAAAAGATTTGTGTCCCTGCCCCACTTGCAATTTCAACTTACTTACTTCTTTAATTTCACTTTCAAAGGATATATAAATGATGTCCTGTCACTGAATATCCCATAGTAATTTTCCACAGTAAACTTGAAATAAAGGATAAAATCAAAACTGTACAAAGTGTTGAAACTTACACAAATGAACGACTTCGAGCTAGCATTCGTGATAAATGTGACCATTTCAGTTTTTCATTTCAAGATGTTCATCTGAATCTTGACACAAACAGGGTTATAATGAAGAACAAATGAGAAAACATATACTAGTATAAAGATGTTCAGCTGACTCTTGGCACAAGAAGGGTTATGATGAAGAACAAATGAGAAAACATACACTAGTATAAAGATGTTCAGCTGACTCTTGGCACAAGAAGGGTTATGATGAAGAACAAATGAGAAAACATATACTAGTATAAAGATGTTCAGCTGACTCTTGACACAAGAAGGGTTATGATGAAGAACAAATGAGAAAACATATATTAGTATAAAGGTGTTCTCCCGACTCTTGACACAAGAAGAGTTATGACGAAGAATAAATGAGAATACATATACTAGTATAAAGGTGTTCTCCTGACTCTTGACACAAGAAGGGTTATGATCAAGAACAAATGAGAAAACATATACTAGTATAATGGTGTTCTCCTGACTCTTGACACAGGAAGGGTTATGATGAAGAACAAATGAGAAAACAAATACTAGTATAATGGTGTTCTCCTGACTCTTGACACAAGAAGGGTTATCATGAAGAAAAAATCAGAAAACATATTCTAGTATAAAGGTGTTCTCCGTACTCTTAACACAAGAAGGGTTAAGATGAAGAACAAATGATATGTCCACGACAAAAGTATCAATGATATCATCTCCAATCGGCTGACCGACACATCTTATCTGTGTCTAAACTGATAAGCGACATGTGGTTTTCGATCCTTAATTTCCAGAAGAGTCGTAAGATATATAGATTAATCTATTGTCTCTTATTCCTTATTATGACATTTTTACTGATTGCGAATTTACACTGCAGGAATTACATACATAGCAAATGCCACTTAACCTTACGGTGCACCATGTCTTAATCAATTTGTAGTAGATGAGCATGCAATTCCTTTAGGTTTTGTAATTGTTTATCCTATTATGTACATCCAATATTAATTTAAGAGATCCTAACATCAATACACTGCTTTTGACACTAATGCATGTTACTGTCTGTCACATTTTGCACCATTTAAAAAAAAATTGAACAGTACATTTTTCCTGTTTGAATGGTTTTACACTTGTCATTTTTGGGGCCCTTTGTTGCTTGCTGTTCGGTGTGAGCCAAGGCTCCGTTTTGAAGGCCGTACTTTTTGCCTATAATGGTTTACTTTTACTAATTGCGACTTGAATGGAGAGTTGTCTCATTGGCACTCATACCACATCTTCTTATATATAATTACAGGAATAAAAAGAATGGTTTAAGTCTAACTTGTTTACGCCAACAAAGTGATATATGCAAAAATTACATACCCTTTCTCCTGTTTTTAATTTATTGAGATAGAAAATGTATTTAACATGACTTTATTCAACATTTTTATTTTTATGAAAAACACTTTTGATTCTTAATATCAAATCAAAACGGACTATTAAATTCAGTTATAGCAAATGATGGAAGCGAATGGTAATCCAAACATAAACAAGTCAAATTAGTCCACTTATAAATTTACATGACTTAATATCTAGTTAGTTATATGATTGATTTAAACTACTGTCCGTATGAAGTACTAGCCCATATTTATCATTACCTATTCTTGGGTAACTTGATACCATAAATATGTCATCAGTGTTTGGCCCACCTTTCTTTATGATATCATTAGCTGTAGAATCTCTCTGATCCGAAGGTTTACTTTCTTCTGAAATAAAATATATCCACTTTTAAAATACAGGTTTATCATAAATAGCCTTTTTAATCAGGGTGCACTTCAAAGTAGTTTGACTAAAGCTCTATATATAATCTATATATAACATTATCTTTTTTTTTGTGTTCAATTGTGGCGCAATTTTCTGTATTGTTTTTATCCTGATGACGGTGCCCTAAGCACCATAACATGTCGATCAATAAATTTTCTGCAGCAGTCCCTTAAGTGTTGTTGTTATAAGACTTTCTACATAGCATCTTGTTTTGTATAAAATGCTTAGAATGAACATTAGTTGTTTGTGTAAATGATTCAGCGATCAAACAACACAAAAAAAGGAATTCAGAGGTAAATGAATGTTCTTCGACAATCGACTAGTGATTTTCGGTGAATCCCCCCTCCTTTTTCAATCTCTATTAATGAGATTGCAAAAGATAAAATACTTATCACAAAATAAAACCAGTTCCGGAAAATAAATAATCTCCCAAAAAATTGAAATAACAATAACTGAATACTACATATCAAAGAAATATATTAAAAAGTAATCAAATTGCATAATTTAATTTACACAATCCTTCATGTACATCAGAATATCAATAAATATAACAATATTTCTACGACGTAAAGAAATTTTCCGATGCGTATATGAGAGCTAAAACAGTATACAGCTGTAGAACAGGAATATAGAGCAGTATCAGATCCATAACTCCCGTCAAAATGATCGATTTAAATGAAGTAATAATACCTGATGGCATGTACTCCTACTATGATAGCTTTACGTAAAAATGCCTCCGGGGAGTTTTTATAAAGTGTCCATATGTTATCATATTTAAAAAAAAGTCAGAGTTCCACAACTCAAGTAAAAAACTGTCTGATCTAACTGACGGTATAGTACGGTCAAAGAGTTTGATGAGAAATAATCCAACGAAGTATTCAAGCTTTTTGCCAAACGGTCTATGAGAATAGGTGTGTGTAATCGGACGAAAACAGACTATTACTGTATCTAAAAACTATTTCAATATTATTGCTTAAAACATTTAAAAAAGAGGGACGGGGCAATTCCACTACATTCGAGAACCATTCATATACTCAGAATTCTACAGCTTTTTGGGAGTCTGTGAAATATAAAGTTATGCAATATGAACATATACTTAAAACAAGGTGTTTTCAAAGCATTTATTCATATTTATAACTTTGAATTATGGTATAACATCTATTCAACTAGAATAACAATGTATTTATATTTTTACAGATTATTCCTGTTGCTAAGATTATTCTTATTTACAACATTTATATTTGTGTTAATATAAATCGTTTTATTAAAATTCCATTTATCAAATAAAAAAGTGTCTGTATATTTATCTATATACAAGTTACGGACGCCATCACGAGTTGGTTAACCGTTATGGAATAACCGTTTCACAGATGATATCGGATATGTTCCTTATGTCGTAACTACAATACCCTCCCTTTTCACGAATGTGACTTACCGAATTAGACTATTTATCGGATTTGTAATAACATAAGCAACACGACGGGTGCCACATGTGGAGCACCTGAGATCACCCCCAGTTTTTGGTGGTGTTCGTGTTGCTTAGTCTTTGGTTTTCTATGTTGTGTCATCTGTACTATTATTTGTCTGTTTGTCTTTTTATTTTGGCCATGGCGTTGTCAGTTTGTTTTCGATCTATGAGTTTGACTGTCCCTCTGGTATCTTTCGTCCCTCTTTTTTAAGCCTCCCTAATCAAATCCAAAACATATCTTTGTATAAAAAGCTTCAACCTAGACATTTTTGTTATCGCAAGAGCTTTAAATGCTTATACTCGTCATTATTTAATGAAGTATTACAAAGAAAGTACCTTGGAAACTGTAGGTTTGAACAAATATAAGTTTTGGTTTCCCTTTGAAATGTTTACATTCTTTAATGATGTCTAAAATTTCACTTCTGGGAAGAAAGACTCCATCTTTGTCATAAATCTTTGCAGCTTCGCACTTTACTTCCCCAGACAAAAACAATATAACCAGGCTATCGTACTGGGAAGACGCATCACTGTCGATCTCCATTAATTTTGTTTTTAAGAACTCTTTGATTTCCTGCAAAGTTAGAAATCTTTAAATAAAATATTAAACATAATTGTACAGATAAAAGGTAAAATAACAAACATACCGAACTCCAAGGAAATTCAAAACGGAAAGTCCCTTATCAAATGGCAAAATTAAAAACTCAAACACATCAAACAAATTGAAAACAACTGGTATATTCCTGACTTGGTGCAGGCATTTCCGTTATGTAGAAAATGGTGGTCTTATATAGATCCGTAAACACCGGATATATTATTCAGTTTCAGAAAGAGAAGTGTCAAAAGAGTTAATTTGTGCAGCATGTTTTAACATTCTGTAGTGTAAGGTTTCCTAAAAAAAGTGACAAGAACATTTATCTATTAACTACAACGTGAATTGTAAAATACAAACAATGAATGAAAACTCTATTTTGTTTAAAATCAGTTTAACATTTCTAAACAGTAAAGCTCTAATACTTGTTCAGAACTATTCCCTGCTTCAAATTTAGTTTAGTTTAGAGAGGGTGCTTGAAATATAGCGATAAGGAGATTCAAAGATTGCAGTGAGGTATGATCTGCTCAGTCTATTTAGCTGCTATTTACCAGTTCATAAAAACGGATTTGTCTGAAAAGAGACCAAACAAACAGTAGTGGATTGATTCAAGTGTAATGTCTGAACAGTATGAGTTATGTGGAGCAGGATCTGCTAACCCTTCCGGGGTACCTAAGTTCACACCCAGTTTTTGGTGGGGTTCGTGTTGCTCAGTCTTTAGTTTTCTATGTTGTGTTTTGTTTACTATTGTTTGTCTGTTTGTCTCTTTTTTTTTTGCGTTTTTAGCCATGGCGTTGTCAGTTTATTTTCGACATATGAGTTTGAATGTCCCTCTGGTATCTTTCGCCCCTCTTTTATTGCATACAATATTTAGAAAATAACTTAAACTCTGACCAAGACTTAAAATATTCATGTGTAATTATTTCAGATGATCAACAAATTTATAGTATTTTTTGAAAATCATTTGATCCCTGATTTTTCCTGTGTTTTTTTCAGAATATTATATTATCTTGTCCAATCGATTGAAGTTGAATCTGTGGAATTCCGCTATACATGTGCCACAAAACATTAACATATCATTTTATTGTTGTTGTCCAATCATGCACAATTATTTTTAAATTTTGGAGCACAAGTTAAGACCCCATGAAAAGAAAATTCATCTTTTCAGAATCTGAAGGATTGTTGATCATTTAATGTTTATACACTAAAAGCAAAACTGCACACTGAAATGGCTCTCATGTGTTATTGATAACATTAATTTTGTTTAGATCAAGGTCTCACTATGGGTATCCTATTTGTTTTGTATATTTAATCAATGAAACATGAAATTTGGTAAAATGACCTCTGTCAAACAGAAATGTTCTTTTTTATAATCATCAAATATATATATATATATATATATATATATAATTTTGTCTACGTTACCGTATAGTATCTAACAAAATGGCCTTATTATCAAAACTTAAACTTCCCGTAGACCATTCAACCATGAAAATGAGGTCGTGGTAACTTGAACACTATCAATTAAACATTTAATCATTAGGCAATATCGAATTAAATGCCAGTTCTTTCGAACTTCTTCCTTTTAAAAGGGTAGTGAGCGATAGAAAAAACAAAGTTTTTTAAAAAATTTTCAAAGGCGAAATAATTTTTTCTAGCGTTCGACTTTATTTTCATAATAGTTGCAAAAAATTAAATTGTTTTTAGGGAGTAACATCAGATTGTGATTAAATTCGATACACATAAACACAAGATTGTTATGTCATAGCGAAATGTCACCCGCGCCTGATAAGTAGGGAATAAAATTGAGTGTCACATTGTGTAGTTGTAGTATAATATTCAAAAAATAGTCCCCTAACTTCAATACAAATTGCCAAATGAAAATGACGGTATAATGTCGTAAACTGCTCATGATGGCTACCAACCAAGTAGAGAGCTTAAGCTTTCTATAAAATGGTCTTATATGTATTGCGTCACTAGGTGACACTATTACAATACTCCAAGCAATAGTGAATGTCCAAACACTCTCGTTAAAATGGTCAGATAAAATGGACGGTATAATATCGTTACTGCACAAAGTCCCATTTCTACTGTCAACTGTCAAATTAATATAGCGGAACTACACTGTATATGGTGAAATACAAATGATTGCAAACAACAGTGACAAGTATGAGATCTTTTTGGTCTCAGAGGAGTTGCATTCACAAAGTGTTATTTTCATTTTAGTCCATAAGTTGTTAAAGTCCCACAAACTTTGTAAAATTAGTATGATCGAAATGACTGTCTAATAATGTCAACCAATCCTACCTAAATAAAAGATATTTTTGTATAATCAAATCAAATTACTTCGGACGTACGTTTCGCTTACATAACTCATCAGTTGCGCTAGAATAAAAAAAAAGTAAAGTTGTAATGCTAAATAAAATACAAAGTTGAAGAGCATTGACATCCAAAAATTCTGAAAAGTTGTGCAAAATACGAGTATGACAATTTAGAAAGTAAGACAAACCTAAGAGTTTCAATAAGTTCAATATTTTATAAGCAGTGAATATACAGAAAATGAACATATCAATGATATTTAATGTCGTCACAGAAAAGCTAACTACTGGGCTGGTGATACCTTGGAACGAAAGTTCCACCATCAGTGGCATCAACCATAACCAAGCTTATAATTTGGTACGCCAAACGCGCGTTTCGTCTTCATTTTAGACTCGTCAGCGGCGCTCGATAAACAGTTGTAAGGTCAAATTAAAAAAAAAAATTATAGTGATATACCTCTTTTGTTAAGTTCTTAACCTGGTCGCCACCTTTGAAATCATATCCCATGTATTTCAATAGCTGACTCATGTTGGATTTATCAAAGTCTGAATTCCTGATACATTCTGAATATCTCTCCTCACATCTCTTCGCCTTCTTCTTGTCTTGTTCGTTCTGGCTGTCTAGACATGGTATACACTGAGCATTAGATATCAAGATAAACATTCCTCTGTTTGCACTTTTCATTGAGTAAATCTTCAAAACAGTTACGGTTCAATTAGTATTTGACGTAAGTTGCACATTTTTAATACTAATACACAAGGCTGTGGGTTGAAACTGTTGGTCTTCAAACTTATAAGGAGGCTGCTGAAAATTGACACCTCCATGCAAATCTCCACTAGGTCTCCAAATGTGTCAACACTATGAATTACATAAACAGTCTTTATATTTGAAAATTGAGTGTTTAGACTATAGAGTAGTTCATTACCAAAATGTTGCCAAAATTAAAAGTGACTTACTTAATATTATCATCGGAAACAAATTGAAAATATCAAAACCCAGTAAGCTGCACATTTTCAATAAAAATAATCAAACTCTCTTAATATATGGACAATTGATAACTAAAAGGGTAGTCCTTTACAAGAAGTTCTGCTAAGTTATACCATTGGCCACATTACCACCATTTCCATTTTTTTTCAAACATCAAAGACTTTGACATTGTAGTAAAACATACCACTTATTCAATGGATATTTAACATTTTGATAGAAAATTGCAATGTGATAAATTATATAAGTTTAATACAAGTTAGGTTGCAACTACAAAACAGAACGTTTAATTTCGGATATTCTGTGTGATCCTTTTAGGATTTATATTAAGTAGTTGATCTTACAGATGACATTTTTAGCGTAAATGGTTGAGACTATGCACAAAATATGTGTGAAGTGCACGGAAACTTAATGGATTTAGTCGTAGAACGAAGTGAATTTTTGTCAAATCTGTGTTAAAGAGCACCATAAATCAATATTTTTTTTTAAACTTATCAAAACATAAATATGTGCCCATATACTAACCTGCTCCACTCGCATTATCATATTTCCATGTACCGCGAAATTATAGTAAAAACTGTAATAAGCCTTAACATAAAAAAAATCGAATCAAAATACACAATGTAATGTTCTAACTTTGCAGTTGATGGGTCACAACTTCATTGCTAACTACCTTAAACACTAACTTTAACATAAGAAGGAGTTTTTTCATATTATTTCGTTTCTTTAGTCAGTAAACCGGGGCATAAACAGGCTGGGATATTTACAAGAATCTTATCTTTGTCACATACAACTAGAGGAGTGTTTTAAGCTGATTATGCAATTTCACTAATACATATAACAGGGTTATCAGCTTAGTATTAGAGCAAGGAACTGCATTCACAATTTATTTCCAATTTTGTCTGCTGAGTGATCTTGTTTATTTTATAGAATAATATATTCATATATTTCTATTAAAATAAATAAAATACAAATAAAAAACAAGGGTGACTGGAGAATAGAAATATGGTCACCATTGGTCTTCCTCCGACCGGCAGTAAAACCCTCGCCGAAGAGGGGCGTTCATTTGACTGTGCGGAATGTACAAGTTCGCAGCCACGTCCGGACAGAATGGGGACGTTAAATCCGATACATCGTGTAAAGAGAGAGAACCCTTGCAACAACTCTTTGAGGGGTCCGTAGGTGACCTGTTGCAAGGCGAAATTTCTGTCTCTATCCAATATACCCTCATTTTCCCGTGGCAGTCCAAATTTCCCCGACCTTAATCCCGGACGGCCTCTATTACAGGACCTACCTAGTGTAATTAATCATTAAAATAAATTTTAACCAGAACACGAGTAACACCACTCAAAGGAAAAGTATGTCAACAATTCCAAAAGAGATTTTTTTAATCAAACAAAGCAGAAGTTAAAATATGTCAAAGTAGCGATGTTCAATCGGAAACCAACAACAACATGATGTTGTTCTGTAATAGTTATACACCGAGGGATAGGTGTGTTTGGATAAAAAACCCGTCGGCCGGAGGCCGGAGGGGTTTCTTATCCAGACACGCCGTATCCCGAGGTGTATAACTAACTTACACCCTATTCTAAACCCTATATTTGTTCACATTGATTATTCAATGAAAAAAAAAACGATAGCATATTTATTGACAATATCAAACCATGATTTATAAGAATATTTTTTTATTACATGAAACCCCACTAGTAACCTTTCTTATCTTGTTCAAACTTTGACAAGTGAGTTTATTTTACAAATGTCAAAGTTGTTTTGCATATTCCCGTTAAATCCGTGTGCTAATATGGATCAGCAGGTCAAGGTTGGCTGTTTCGTGTATTCTTATAATTACAAACAAAAAATACATCATGCTCCTGGTATACAGTTGTCAATATGGACGGGTATAAGACGGACGACATTTTGTGGCAAGCGTTGGATTTGGTAGAAGAGACTAAAGATAAAGGCAATATTATAACACAAAGTACTTACCTGTATCAGTTTAATAAAGGTAATCATAACTGTATTTTATATTTTACGATTTTATCAAAAACAAAAGCCCCCTCTCCCTCTTCTCGAGAATATGCAAACATTCATATTTGAACATACTAAGGGATATGTGTGTACATTAGAAACCCGACTACCAGACACGCTCAACATACAATATTTAATATTGAAGAACTCCCTTTTTTGGGGGGCAATCAGGGGAGTTAGAATCCCCATTTTTTTTATTAAGATCAATGCTTAAGAATAGAGACATATGACTGTGATAAAACAAAATTACCTTCAAGCAAAATAGTATTTAAAGGATTATTTTTGTATTCCATATAGATGCTAACTGGAATATTCTAAAATGTTTCTTTTTAATAATATCATGAAACAATTTGTGGTGAACACTATTAGTAATTTCTTATATTCATGCTATTTAGAAAATAATCAATTTCTATTGTTACGAATAACACTGGACTTTGTTTGCGGGATATAGAAGCAGGGGTTTCCAGAAACCCCACTCGTCACACCCTGTGGTCAAAATCCATTGTTATTCGTAACAATAGATCTATTCAATTTACACTTGTTTCAGAAATAGAAACTATGAAGTATAACAATAGAACTGGGGTGTAAATTCATTTCATTTGATATCAAAAAGAGATAAAAATGTGGCCCGGACTGTAGCAAAATCGGACAAATATTAATGGTAGAACCATTGAGCAGGTAGTTCACAATTTTAGAGGGTTGTTTATTTGAATTATTTCATCATTTCTATTATTCAATTTCTATTTTCCGTACAGGACAATGATTGTACTGTTGGATTTGGGAAACCACAGGTAAACTATTGTTTGTGATTTAATAATTTCAGGTACGTTTTTGTTAGAATTGGCAATAATTGGTCTAATAAGATACATTTTGTAATAATGCATTAATATGACACTCAATACCTTTTCCCCTTGTTTGTTGTAGTAGAAATCCCATTCAGATGTTTTGACATCTTTCTTCCGCACTGTGTATTCACCAACTGTTACGTCTGGCCAATCAGGTACTTAAAGGAACAGTAAATATATTAGCAGTTAACACAAAAAATCAAAACCAACCCATGATAATTTTTCAGTACATTGTTTTTATATAATATGTTTTATAAATATCTATACATGTATGTTGTTCTATTTATTTTTAATTATTATGTATAAATCATTAAAAAATTAAATCTTTACAATTTTTTGGGCAAATGCATTCACTTCTGTTGAAACCCCATCTACGTTTGTTCTAACATCATTTGTCACCATGAAAACAACTATATTGCATTCTGAGATTGAAAAAGCATGTTAGAAATTACAGTGAATGATGCTAAATGTAGTCAAAACGATATATATTGATGTCCAAAGAACATACATTGTTCTTTACAAATTTTGCAATCCAGTTTGCTGTTTCTGTTATTGCAAGTTATTCTTTAAAAAATCACTTTACGACGATCATGGGACGGACAATAACATATTCAAAATATACCAGAAGGTTATTAAATACATGCCGTCGTCTGTTAAAATAGTAGATTTATATGTTTTGTGTATTGTTCATGTAGTGTTATCATGTGTAATGAGTATTATTTAAGCATTATGTTGCAGTTTGGTGAAATTACTTTTCAATTATATGGGTTTGAATAATATCTTTTTTTGAATATGAATGACATTTTCAATACCAATCATTGGAACCTCTTTTAATCCTGGAAAGAAGAACAAGTCTTTCTCATCACTATGTTCAAGAATCATTACTTCTGAAACAGCTTGTGTTCTATCTTTGGGAACCATAGCACTGGCGAGGCAATTATTTACCTGAAAACAGAATTAAATTCAAAACTTCACTTGTATGAAAAAAAAAAACAGTTTGCTATGTATATATATACAAATTATAAAATTATTAATAATGAATAATAAAAAAATCTAACCTTATATGATAATATATTTTGTTCTCATTTTTAAAGGAATATAATGACATAAATATACTGTGATTTTTATAGACAACAACGAACAATATGTTAGTATTGTAATCAAATATCACAATTGGTTACCCTATCCTTCATCTTTCTTCTATAATATAACTCCACGAAAACAAATACCTTACAAGACAATATTTCAATATACTAAGTGTCTGGTATTTTTGTTATGAAGTTCCTACAATAAAAATTATTGTCTGCTTTTGATTGACAAATCGTGCTTATTAAGAAGAAGAAGCAATGAAACAAAACATAACATAAGCAGGTTCTGTGAAGTAAAAGAACAGGCATGACAACGGGAACGGGTAGGAAAATATTGACAGTCACTGACCATGCTGACAAGGAGGATATGTTGTACAAGGGAGATATTCAGCCATCAAGCAGGTCAATGATTTATCCCTTGCATGGGATTTACATTCAGACATTTCCAATCAACTACTCCGAATGAAATATCCCTGGTCGGACTGAACTGGTATACATTCTGATACACCCTGTATATATTTAACAGATACCCCTTATGATCATGTAACTCTCTCATGCCACGCTGACCTTTAAGGAATTTGGTTCTTCCAATTAGGTCCTTTAGATTTGTTTACCTCCCGAAGACTTAATATCTTTGGCTTTCCAATACTTTTGCTCTTAGGATTAACTGTCCAGGTTATTTGTACAAGAGAAAATGTACCCATGTAATAATTATTTATTTTAAAATCAATTATTTTACCTTCAGATAGA